ATAAACAGGAAGAAGAAAATTGACCAGCAAAGGGCAGTTTCTGGTCTGAACTTATGAGACCTTCTGAATGCATTCGACTGCTGGGAAAGGGCCAAATCTAAACATGAACTATTCCAACACATTATTCCCCAAACCCTCCTGCTTTTTGCATTTTTTCTAATTACTGTTCTATCAATTTGGGCCCAATTACTGGTCAACTTCTAAATACTTCCTAACTGAAGAAAATAAACAGAAGGAAAGTAGGTAATATATGAAAAATAAAATGTTATTCATTAATATATACATTATACATACATTATTATTCAATAGTGTATATTTTTAAAATAATTGTTAAGATAAGATCTAACTTACATGTGATGTCTGTACAGCATTTATGAAAGACATGGGGCAAATCCTCATGGCTGCCTAAGGCAGGTTTCTTGGGTGAAGCCCACAGACTCCCCATATCAGAACCATCTGAGGAGTTTGCTAAACTTGGAAGTGAAGTAGAGCCCAGGTATCCAAATATTCAAAGTCACTCCAGGTGTATACTCAACAAAGTTTGAGAACCACCACCCAACAAGCCAAGTCTTAAAATCTGTTCTAAAAGCAGAGTGTATCTCATGCCCTCTTCCTATACCTTTCACCACATTCTATAGGTGTCCCCCCAAAATGTATACACACTTTTACAGCTACTAACTCAATTTTCACTCCTTTTCAGCTTTAACTGATTTGAAATAATGCGTGAAGCCAGACTAAGCTTTGAACAAAGAAAATTTACCCTAAAGTGTCACTAGACATTTTTTTATGGGGATACATAAAAGATAAAGTTTATGGTATAAAACTGGCAACAGTCAACAAGTTGAAGGTGCACAAATACCGAACGAAGTAATTCTTTTTTTTTTTTTTAAATATATCTTTATTGATTTCAGAGAGAGGAAAGGAGAGGGAGAGAGAGATAGAAACATCAATGATGAGAGTCATTGATCGAGCCCACAACCCGGGCATGTGCCCTGACCGGGAATCGAACCCCAATCGCCTGGATCCTAGGTCGACGCTCAACCACTGAGCCACGCCCGGCCAGGCGCGAACGAAATAATTCTTAATGTTTGCGATTCCATTGCTTTGCGTTATCAGCAGCGCCTGGACAAGAATGGTCATCAGTTTGAAAACAGGCACAGACCAAAAAAATTATTCATTTCTGTAGATTCTTTTAAATTTTGCAAATGAACTGTATGTTAATAAACACTGATTTTATAATCATTCAAAGTGTGTCTACATTCTTTTGGACAACCTGTATTTCCAGCATAAAATGGTTTCAATCCATTGCTGTGTCTACAGCTGGAAATACTCTCATCATTTTGAGGCATTTCTACCTACATGCTCCCTCCAAGCAGCTCTGTCCTTCAGCTACTGTCATTGTTCTACTTACGCACAATTAACTCTCAGTTATGCCCAGCACACCTTTTTTGGGAGGTCTCACGTTTCATGAAAACATCAGGAAGAGAAAACCTGCCCACTGCTTCCTTCTTTTGTGTAGATGCCTCCACAGGTCAGTTGGGAGCCCTTAATCTCTTAATGAATGCCCATGACTGACGCAAGTTAATGAAAACTATGGCTAATCTTTAAAAAGTCTCACCCTGGTTGAACTGAGATTGCCAGTAGCTTCTCTCTTCAAAACTTGGCTCCTTCTTGGGATCAAAAATGAGAAAGTCCGTCTTGGTGCCACCAAATCTCAGGTATGCAGGAGACAAACCTCTGGCCAAAGTACGAAGCTTTGGAGAACTGTTAGGAAGACAAGCCAGAGATTAAAATTATTTTTTCTAGGACAATCGATCAAACATGTTTACTCCCTCTGCCTCGGTGGATCTATTTCTTCATAACTAGCTGGACAGGCTTTGGAGGGAGCAGTCATGTCACTATATGGGGAGAATCACCTCAATCGGAATCTTTCTAACGGCAACGCTGCTCTTCTAGGCACTTGGAGGGAGCTTGGAGCTCTAACTCTGGCCAAAGCTTATATTTTAATTTGACAAGCAGGAAAGTGTTCAGTACTTTCAAAAAGTTCATAACTTTTTAGGATTGTTGGAGGCAAATAAGTGAGAGATGAAAGTACAGAAAAGACAACTTTGTGTTCCTTTAAAAAATACACTGTCTTCAAAAATTTGTTCTCACAGAAGTTCATAAATGACAGGATTCCTCCTCCTCTCTCTAACCATCCCATTCCCAAGGAAAATCATCCTTTTAAATTTAAGTCACATTACTTAGAATTATATAAGATTCTAGTTCCTGTCATTGAGACCCCTAATTTGAGCAATTCTAAATGCATATCTTATCAAGCCAAAAATGCTCCTGATAGGTGCCTAGTACATGTTCAGGATGGTACCAGTGCTATAGAATGGAATTAGAATGATTCATAATCCTTTCCCTCAGAAAGATGAAGATGTGATGAATATTTAAGTGAACAAAACTAAGAAAACAAAAGGCCCAGGTGACAGGGCCCCTGCCCTACATTTCTGAAATCTCACACATGTGTTTCTGGCCACAATGCTTCCTCGAATACTCTTCAAACACATAAAATCAAAGCTGTGTTGTTCTCGGACTGGCCTGATTATAGTTTACATCTGGATTTATTTCAAGTCAAAAAATCACTCCAGGAAACTATCTAATTGCCAATACTTCTTACATCCTAGGAATTAAAGACCTAACCTAAAATAAAAAATTTTAAGATGTGCTCCTGCTTAACTATACGTAGTGTATGTAAAATTTTTGAAAGATTTCTTTACTTGTGCTCAGGAAAGAGAAATTAAGAGGTGGAAATTGACCAAAGGATAAGTCTCCTGCATTAAAAAACTTCAGCGATTCCTCCTCACCATTTTTTGTTTGTTTGTTTATAACTTGCAAATTTTTTACTGTATTATCTAGGCAGCTTTTCCTTCGTAAGCCTCTTCCTCCATAAAAAAAACATTTTAAATTATATTTCATGATGCTATTTATTTACTTAAAGACAAATATGCTAATATTATATATTAAAACATTTTCTTTGACCTAAAAGTTCATTTTCTCTGGATCTTAATAGTACTTAAAATCTTTTTCGTGGTCCCAGCTGGTTTGGCTTAGTGGTTAGAGCGTCGGCCTGTGGTTGGAAGGGTCTCGAGTGTGATTCTGGACAAGGGCATGTACCTTGGTTGCAGGCTCAATCCCTGGCCCTAGTCGTGCGGGAGGTAACCAACTGATGTGAATCTAACATTGATGTTTCTCTCTCTCTCTCCCTCTCTCCCTTCCACTCTCTCTGAAAAGTAATGGAAAAAAGTATCCTCTGGTAAGAAATATATATATATATGTATATATATATATATTTTTTTTTAAATCTTTTTTTTAAAATTTTTTGTGTGGGTCCTGGCACAAGGAAATGCAGTACATAGTGAGACTTCAGAAATGTCATTAACCTGAATTCACGATGACAAAAACCCGACAGCACCAGAACTTTGGGAAGGACGGCATCTGCCATGGGATCCCCGAGACCACTGGAAAGGTGGAAATGCTCACCTGGACTAGGGAAGGATGCAGAAGAAGGCCAGGCCACTTACTGTAGGGAGGGGAACTAGGGCATGACTGAGTCCTGTTTGGGAAGATGGAAGTTCTGGGATGGGTGGTGGTGACGACTGCCCAACAATGTGAAAGTACTTAGTGCCACTGAACGACACACTTTAAAATGGTAAATTTTAGGCTTGGTTTATTTTACCTCAATAAGACGAACCAACTGTAGACACAGTGTGACTTCGACAATGAAAATACCATATATAGAAGGAGATACGAGTATTATGCGATGAGATGGATGATTGATTCTTTTCTATTGCTTTTCTGTATTTTACCAGTTTTCCATAATAAGCACATGATATTTTAGTTTATGCAGGGTGGTTTTGCGTGTGTGTGTGTGTGTCTTAATGTTTTTCAAGAATAAAGAAACCAAGATTTACTTAAAGGGGCTATAGCCATCCATTGATTTAGTCAATAAATCTTCATTGCAGGCCCACTCCATGCCAGGCATCGTGCTATTGTTGGGGGTACAATGGCAAACCAGACAGAAATTGCTGCTGTTCTTGTGTAATTTATAGCCTAGTGATAAAGATGAACAAGAAAACAGGCAGTTCCAAAATAGTGCTATGAGAACATACAAAGAGGCTCTCAAACCAGACTTTGGGCTGGGGGTAAGGCAGGGGTGGTTAGAGGTTTTCCGGGGAAAGTGGCTTCACTGTTAGACACTGGAAAGGAATAAATCTTATTCAGAACAAAGGGAGTGAAGTGGGATTGAGGGAAGTGTTTCAGGTGTAGGGGAAAGTCTGTCCAAAAACCAAAGGCAGAAGAACACATGGCACCACTGAAGAGCTGGCAGCTGTGGCCAGAGCCTAGAGATTGGGGGCAGGGAGTTGCTGGGAGAGGCTGACTGGCGAGGAAGCAGCACCGTAGCACGGAAGGTCTGGAAGCCACCATGTCTAACAGTTGTGACTTTATATGAGAGCAATGGGGAGCCATGGAAGGATTTAAAGCAGTGAAGGGACCTCAACAGACTTTCATCTTAGAAAAGAATCTCAGGCTGCGGTGTGAATAACTGAATAGAAGGACCAAGACTGTAGTCATGTTAACGAAGACAGAAAGTAATGGGCTGAGGTCAGGTAACAGCAGGGGGGATGGGGAGAGGTGTTAAGTTCAAATACACATGGAGGTAGAAATACAAGATTTGGTGCTTAATTGGAAGTTGGAGAAGAATCAAGGATTACCCCTTGGGAAGCCTTGGAAGAAGGTAATACCACTTGCTGAGATGAAGAATAGGTGACAGGCTGGAGTTGGGGATGAAGGAGGAGGGTGGCTCAGTTTTGTAGAATTTGAGATGCCAATGGAACGCGAACCTTTCAGAGGGCTGAAACATGTTTCCGCCAGGCCCTTGGCCATGTGTGTCTGGAGTTCAGAGGACACACAGGTGAGGTACAGGATGGAGCGTCCTCAGTCTAAGAGTCAGTGACTAGTAACCCCAGCCCACAGGTGCGGACACATGGCCCTAAGACTGATACAAAGCGCTTCCTCAGTCACTCCAGGCTGACCCTGTTCCACTGCCTTCAGCCAGGCACTGATTCTAGTCCTTGACATTCTGATTGTGTTTGATGACAGAGGAAGCTCATTTAAATCTGTGTAGCTGGTATTTGTAAAATGGGGAGAGGCTGGGGAGATGGTGGGGCTTCCTGGGAAGTGGAGGGAAAACTAGCACCAGGTAGAAGGCGCTGTGGCATCACTAGATGTGCATCTGTGCATGGCCGGGGTCAGATGCACGAGTACCAGAGCCTGGTTCCCAGTGGTTGTGACTCTACCACCCTGGGTCACTCTCCATCACGTCACCCTGCCTTTATTACCTTCATAGCATTCACCACTCTCTGAAATTAGCTTCCTTATTTGTTTCCTCAGTTTACTACCTAACCCAGTCCCCAACCCTGATGCAAACCCCATGAAAGCAGGTATGTTATCTGTGTGGCTCATCAGAATCTTCACTGTGCCTAGAGAAGCATCTAGATTAGTACCTGGCACATAGCTGGTGCTTAATAAGTATTTGTTAAGTGAATGAACAATCGAGTGCAGCTTGCTGAAAGGGCAAGTGGGGCCAGACAAAGACTGCTTTCTGAACAAAATTAAAACCCAGTGCTATGGTTCCTGCCAAGTAAAGGAAGTCACATGTTCCAGAGTATCGGTATTCAGGACTTTTTGTCTGTTTCCTTTGCAATGGAACATTTTCTTGTTTTGGGGATATGATATTGATGCCCTTTGACAAAAACCAGGTTGGAAACAGCTGAAAAACGTGTCATAAAAATAAAACTGGTCAAAGGTATTTCCATCATATACAGGAAAAAGAAATGGGGGGGAAATCTGCCACTGCCTCAGTGACATGGACATAACAAAAGGACACAGAACAGCCGCTGAAGATATCCCATTTCCGGAGCAGTTTGTTAGGGGAAAGGTCCGCGGGTATCTTTATATTACCTTACGGTGATGAGTCAAGGCAAGGCCCTGACATTAGGTGGCTGAAGCTGAGTGAAGCAGTGTGTGCTAATAAGCTGGCTCCCTGGAAAAAAGTGCCCTATTCTTTTTTTTAAATCCTCACCCAAGGATATGTTTTTTATTGATTTGAGAGAGAGAGAGGAAGGGGGAAACAGAGAGAAAGAGCGATATGAAAGAGAAACACCAATCGGTTGCCTCCCATACTTGCCCCGACCACGGGGATTGAACCCACAACCTTTTGGTGCATGGGATGACACTCCAACCAAGCCACCTGGCCAGGTCAAAAGTGCCCTATTGTTTAGGTTTGCCAAACTCCATGATGAAACATCCTCACCAGGGCTTATTTCAAGCTGTCACTGTTGATGTCACTGGTGGAGGTAGAAAGAGACGCACACACTTCATGAGGTGCTGTAAGCTGGTTGCAGTGCCACACTGAGTGAAGAAAATTTTAAAATGTGGGTGTGAAGAAATAGGCGGTTTACTTAAGTGGACTTGAAGTCATGTAGGATGACGGTGGGGCGTGACAGTGGAGGGAAAATTGTGAGATCAGTGCCTGTCTTCAATCAATAAAAAGTGAGCAGAGGGTGAGCGCCAGACATGGGGACAGTGAACCTCACACTGGAGTCATGACATTCATCAAGCATGCAACCAGTTAGTCTAAACTGAGTGTTGTGGGCATCTGGCATAGATTATTTCACTTAATCCCAAAACAACCCAGTGAGGTGGTGTCACTATTATCCACATTTTACCGACAGGGAACCTGAACAAAAGGAGGCTAAGGAATTTGCCCAAGGTACCGTCAGTAGGGATTTGCACCACAGCCACCTGGAGTTCAAACTGGTGGGCAGCTGTCTGGAAGCTGCACTGGGGAAGGGGAGAAGGGCTATGGTATGGAGACTGCTCAGCTTCTACTCCAAAGAGCTACTTCAGAGAAGGAATCACATCTACTTCTCTACTTGGGTCTTCAGAGTTCTGCTAGGGCAAGGAGGTGGCAGGAATATTCTGTGAGGCGCACAGAACAGGGTTGCCATGCAGAGGGCTCCAGGGAACACAAGGGAGCACTCAGTTCAGGGGAGCACTCCTCAGAGGTCAGAACATCTGAGTCTATGCATGGCTTTGATTGCTCACAGTTCTGTTTCTCTTTGGTTACTTCCGTGAGCAACAGGCACATAGAAGGCCGATGGCTCTTTGTAACATCGGTTATAGAACCTTGCACTTGACATTGATAATAAGTGCTTTTCCAAATATTAGAAGCAACTTTGTCAGTGGAGATACAGAAATCTGATTATCAAAAGTTATTACTAACAAATATTAATCAAGTTGGCAAAAAGGGATGAACTTTGCTGAAGAAAGATTAGCAAACTCTATGGAGAGCAAGCACAGCGGCGTTATTTCAGCACCACAGTACTGCTCTGTCATACTAGGGTCTCTATCACTGGCTCAACACTCTATCTTTTTATCCTGTGTGAGTGAGCCTTGCTTGACTGACACGGGGCTGCACCATCTGACATGGTAACCACTGGCCACATGTGGCCGTGAGCACTTGAGAAGCAGCTCGTCTGAATCTGAGATGTGCTGTGGGTATAAAATATACACCGGATTTTGAAGACTTGGTTCAAAAAGAATGTGAAATATCTCATTAATATTTTTATACTGATTACATGTTGAAACAATATTTCAAGTTAAATAAATATATTAAAATTAATTTCACCTGTTTCTTTTTACCTTTTTTTCCCTAGCATGGTGGCTAGAAAATTTAAAACTATATATATAGCTTACATGTGAGGCTCACATTCTATTTTTCCTGAGCAGTGCTGGTCTCAACCCTCCCATCACTAAGGGGCCCTGCAGAGTAAGGCTTAGGAAGCTTTTGATTGGGTTGTTGATTAGATGCCTCTGGGAAAAAGGCAAATTGAAAAGATGGTCCTTTCCAATTCTAGATTGTTCTACCATTGGCATTTACATTCTGTGTACTCTGTGTTCTCTAACTGCACATGTGAAAAACACACACGTTTGCCATCATGGGAAACAGAACCATGTCATCTGATTAAATTTGCTTAGGCCTCTTTGGAAGTGCCTTAGAGTTAGACCCTGCTTCTGCTACTCTCAGGTCAGTGGTTTTTTTCCTCTATATCAATCTTCTCAATTTATTTCTGAACAACCGCCCCCCCCTTTTTAATATACTATCCTGTTGCCTTAAAAAAATATAACTGTTTTGCTTCCTTTTTGTGTGCTCTTATCTCTGCAATTAGCATCTGGGTTCAAACTCTGCTCCTCCCAGTAACAGCTGGCTGGCGGCCATGGGCAAGTTACTGAATCTCACTAAGCCTCAATCTCTTCATTTTTATAATGGGGATAATAATAGTACTGACCTCAGAGTTCTGTAGCAAGGACTAAGTGAATTAATACCTAAGAGGTGCTTAGTACAGGGCCTGGCATATGACAGGGGTTTAATTAGCGTCAGCTATGTTCATTAACTTCTCATTACTGCAGCTTTCATCTGCTGGGCTCTTGCCATCTTCACCCGACATCCTCACTTTTGAGGAACTGTAATGCAACAGTGCCCATCTCACCTTCTGCTCCTGTGGACAGATATTAAGCTCAGTGCTGTCTTTTGAGGTGGAAGCTAAATGTTTTGTCCTCTGAGATGGCCAGGCCACTCTGGGCACTGTGCTAACCATCTGGGAAGTTGGACCCGCAGACCCAATTTCAGAACTTAGGGGAGAAAGAGAGGGAGCTCCTGCTTCTTTGAGCTGCAGTCTTTTAGGTCTCAGCTGGGAATAGTGTGGATGTGATTGCAGATGCCTCTGGGGAGTGGGCATCGAAGACAACCTCTGCTAAGGAAGGAATCCAGAGTGGCCAGGAACCAGCCCTGGAGAGATAGATGCTCATATGAACAGGAATACACTGTGTTTTATAAACCAAAATCAGTTTTATCTATTGCATGCAAGGCTTTTTTGGTTTTCATTATCCTCTAGCCTTTAACAAAAAGGTGGGGGCCAGGGAGGAAGAAAGAGTGCTATGGGATATTAAGAGATGGGTTTAAGAAGAGGAAAGGTATCATCCTCGCCAAATTGCGCACTGGAAGTTCTGTGTGTATAGGGGCTGAGGGTGCTAGCCAATTGGTTAGCTTAACTGCAGGGTGATCAGCCCTGGACCCCAAAAGTCACACTATAGGTTTTTTCCTTTTGGACCTGTTTCTCTGGGAAGTTATCCCCAAGGGCCCTTCCTTGGGGAGGGGTGGGGCAGATGCTGGCTGCAGCAACAGAACAGAACCTGAGTTCTCACATTTCAGTAGGTCGTCCTTTACTTAATCCCTCGGTTCTCACTTAAGTACCTCACACCCTCTCTTCCTCTACTTCCCCCCCCCCCCCC